AACATAACTCTTTTGAACAAATAATCTGATACATGTGAAGTGATACAAACACCATCCACAGGGTTGTGTAGAACACAAGATCGAATTTCAAAACAAAAGCTTGGAGAACAATGTGTCCTAACCTACTTGAGTTGGTTCCATCCAGGTAACTGATGAATGCCTTGTGGATGGCCTGAACAGCGCAAACCTCATTTGGGGCACATGTTGCTGATTATGGGTGTCATATTGGGGAATTACCAGCTTCGATTTGAATACAATACTGGGCAAGGAAACAATGAGATATTAACCTAAATTCATTTGAGAGTAGCGTTTTTCTAATTCATTCATTATAAATATATCAAAATATATATTTGTGTGTTTAGGGGACATTTGCCTTCCTCTGATCTTAGTAGGATGTTACGTGGTGAAGAACTGGAAGTACATTATGGAATTCAACGACTTAAACTTTTGATACATAATTTGCATACAAGAAAGCTCGGAAAATTCGTCAAACGACCGGCCCATTATTTACCTTTCAGTAATGAATTCAAAAGCCCAAAATGATTACATTGCATTGTCTGTCTTGATTATTAAATACCTACGCTAACAGATTGCTGGTTTTTCTTCAAAACAATAAATACTGCTATCTTTGGNGCAGAAAGACACATATCAGAGTTGACTGAAAGTGATTTATGGAGTAAAAACCAGAGAGAGGCTAGAAGAGAAAAGCCTATTCATTCGAGGCCATAAATCGGTTCAGTAATGTTTCCGCAAGATTTAAATGAAGCTTGTTCATCTTAAAGCTGTTTTAGATAGTTCGCAAATGCTGATTTAAGATACTGTTAAGGAAAACGTAAAATCCACCATAAATGCGATAAACTATCTTATTTCAAATACCACTAAAACTAATCCTTTTCAAAATCCGATGTTTTAAGACGTGCTACTGAATTTCGTTCAACTCATTTTCAACAAATTTTGAAGTCTCATGATAAGCGCTAAATATTAAAGAAAAATGTATCTGTTGTATCAGTAAACTATCGTTTTATTACGAAACGCTTATTTGCCCGCTTAAGAGAAAATAGCAAAGCTTAACAAAAATGTCCCTCAAGTCCGGAACCGTCTGCATCTCTATGTCACAAAAGTCTTCCATTCATTTTGTCCTTCTTCAGGTGATCGCAGTAATCCGCTAACAGGCGAGAATGTGAAAACGTTCACCGTAAACGTTGAAGAGAAACAATCTATCAGTCGACCGATGAAGAATGGTGCGTTCAGTGTAAACCAATTGTTTTGTTTATTATTCCTTACCCCGTTATGTTTTACCGAGAATGATAGGCAACTCATCCAATATACTGGAAGTTAGAATGAACATTGTGATTTCATCCCTGACGGAATTCGTTGACTGTACAGGTTGATCAAATTCAATCGGATTATTGCCCACGCAAACATAAATTGGCAGTTCCTTGCTTGCAGCACTTTTCAGCTAGGATGCCCATGAAATCCTCGCCCTCAATCTCCCAGTTCCTATAAATTGCTGCTCAAGGAAAGTGTTCAAAATCGTCTTTTGCTGTGTGTTCACTGTGTTGATATGTGAGTTGTGCATAGAAGTAACTGGTCTATATATTGTCAAACGGAGTGAAAAATGAGTGTGATCCAAATAACAGTCAGCTTCGTCACACTTGGACGATGTGTTTTGCTGGTTCACATACTTCTTCACAGCGTCACACCTGTGGTTTAAATGGATGGATTGGAGCAAGGACGGCCTTACAATATGCGAAGATTTATGTCTGAATTTTCCCAGTTATTTTCGCAACAGTGAGCGGTGATTTACACAATAGAATAAGATGGAGCAACTCCACGTGACCCGACATCATTATATGTAGAAAGGTTGATGTGCATTACCGAGTGAACAGAAAAATAAATTGGGTTGATAAAATTAACCAAACAGAAATATGATTGAAAAGCGTAGTAGTTCATTGATCAACATACTGGTTGAAATGTTAGGGATGAATCTAACAGCGTGATGAAAGTTGTGTGTATTCATGTGTGTGGGAATGGATGTTCTATGAATTATCACATTGCCCAAAGCATCCTTGGACATTTCGTTACAACAGGTGATTACAGAAAAATTACTAATGATTATTTTTGTTGCACCTGTTATTTATCTGAAAGCTTAAAACATTCTTCATGGAACATTCTTTAGTAGTTGCGGAAATTTATGAAATTTAGAATATATGAAAGATAATCGCTGACAGGTTGTGCCGGCACCAACCACTGTATCTGCTTTATTCTACACGTAACATAGGTCATTTTATTGACAATTATGTTTCGCTTGTTTGAGTAGTTCTGTCTAGCTGTTGTTATCTATAAGCTAGCAACGGAACATAAGGAATATGCTTTCATTTGTTCCATATATTTACGGTTCTCTGGCAATTTCAGTTGTCATCGTTGTATACAGAGAAAGAGGAAATTACAATGATCTATTACACCATTGCTAACAAATTGGGTGGCAACTGGATTGAAAATGAGAGACATGAGCATAGTTCTGTTATTCGCCTAAATAGCTATAAGCTCCAATTAACCAAATAGGATTGAGGGAATGTTAAATTCATGGGCGTTCTTCCGAAACCCAAAATAGACAATGATTGAAATTGAAATCTGTCTCCGAAATTTTCGGAAACAGTAGCTTACAAAGTTCAGCACCGACTTCAGCTCCCAATTTTGATCGTTATGTTGACATGCATGTGATATGTTCTCAATATATGAACACTTTAAATAAACGGGCGGTGGCCCGTCACCAAAATTATCTCCCCGGGGATGTATGTTCGAATCCCGACACCACCGCCTGACTTTCCCCATTGTGTTTTAAATGGCAGCTCTTTGATTGGCCGCTTCCCCTTTCCTGAATATTGTATCGTTGCATATTTAATAAGAAGTAAAATGAAAAAGAAAGAAAAGGTCACAACGTTTCCTCGGTGGCCATTTAATTAGTATGTGAAGGCTTAATGCTTTTGCCAGTATACAAGTGTGTGTCCAAACAACAACTGTAAGCGCACTGTAGGACATTTTGATGATCAGTTTCTAACTAGCATTTCATTCCTTCCTCCCCCTCCATCAGGCTCCGCACGAAATATCTTCACCGGGGACAATTGTGTCACATATACGGTGTCACCGGAACTAAAATCTCCCAGTAAAACCTACAACCCTGGTATGTTATTATTATTTTTCGTCACTGGCGAATAAAGTGAATAAAGAGGATCATGAATCCTAACAATCATTAGGTTTTGATATTACAATGAATATCTGCTTGAAACTTACGTAATATATAGCACTTCGTGTGCTGCATGTACACGAGTAAAAGTTGATTTCCAAAATTGATATTTACGAACGTTTGCTTACATGTAACATCAGCTTCAGCAAGAAATGCAATCACTGGAGAAAATTGTTCCAGCTATGATTTCAATGCTGAAGTTCGCACTTCGCGCAAACGAACACCCGCTCAGTCATCCAATCCTTTGAGTGGGGAAAATGTGAGCACCTTCAATGTGTCAAAAGAAGAAAGACAAAGACCCACAAAACCATATGGTAAGCCGCAAAATTATCAACGTTGTGCTCATCCTAGTATCTGGTATTTATATGAGAAATTTTCATGATTTTAAATTTGTTCATTCCTGTTGGGCGTTTCAATAAGCCATATTCTTATAAATTTATTTACTAATGTTTTGACTACTCGCATATCATCAGTAGTAAAAGTTGGGATGCTCGAATCAACCTCATATACTTCCATCGTATTTCGTGACATTCGTACAACCCATTTGGAACTTCTAGTGAAACTTAGAGAGAATGAGTCAATAAGCACAACACATTTATAAAATGAATTTCACAAACACGCAGATGAATTATGTGGTACATATTTCAAACATCAACTGATTGTTTACGAAACATCTATAAATCTGGCTTGAGTGTAAGAAGATTTCATGTGGGCAAGGGACCTTTTGACGGTTTGATGGAGGAGACAATATATGATCAATAAACCCAATGGTGACAGACGGAAATAGTTGGAACTAAGCGGAATGGAACTTCTAAATTTAAAAGCACTTTTCTCGCCAATAAGTTAAAGTAAAATAGCGTGTGGAATTTCGGTTCTAAGCAAACAATTTTAAGGTGATCAACCTATCTGCTTTAACCATTTACAGTTTATAAGAACACGGTAACTGGGGAGAATTTGGCAAGCTACAAAATCACACCCATCGAACGAAATGTGACACCGAAAGCTTTGACTGGTGAGTTTTCATAGTTCCTCTGTTTTACTCCGATTCACTTATTCCACATAATGTATCAGAGCATTCTTGTGCTGCACATATTTACTACATTTACTGTCGGTAAAATAATTAACATGATCACTCCTCATTTTTACTCGGCTCGGCAAGCACCACATATCGAACATGATTAGTGGAATATTCCTAATTTTTGATTTCACCATTCTCTTGTTTGGTTTCATTTATTAGTGAATCAAAAAATCTTGCCAGTTCATGATCTTAATCTGTTTTGCAACTACCGCTCTAAAAACTGCACAATCGAGTTCTTCCTCTCATTGAGTACTCCTCGGTTTATAGTTTTGCGATCAAGTGGTTGTTTTATTAAAGAATTTGAGGAAAACTCTGTCACACATCCGATTTATAGAGAACTCCGTAGTTGTGGTTGAAAGCACTGGGAAATCCATTAACTCTGAGAATTTCATTAATAATCAAACTGGATGGATCTTAAACTCTGGGATCATTTATCATCGTACACAAACGTTCTCCAGAGCGGTGTATGTTAGAAAGATGAAGATCGCCTAATAATGTAGAAATAAATATTATTTAAGGCAAAATAACAGAGTAGCAAACAACTTTCTTTTAGAGATTCGTATTCGTACCAATACACCTCAATTTATGTCCCTACTTGTGAATAAAATCGTCTTGGGAAAATAAAATAAAATCAAGGATCACCAGAAATGATTTCCTCATGAGACCGGAAATCGGGTTCACCACGATCACATATTTGTTTGTCCACTCATCTGATCATCGTGATTACTCGTGATACAGTATTTGTTGGGGGTGGGCCAGGGAAACTGTGGCGCTTGCACTAATTGTTTTTAGGCACACATAGGGGTGTGTGCAAATGAATGCCCACCGCTTCAGCTGTAGCCATCATCCGACAGGAAAACTGTCTGAATGATCTCCCACGAACTTTATCCAGGGGTCAGAGAGCCTCTGGAACGTCCACGGTGTAATCAGTTTTAGCTATGTGTAAAACCATTGCACTTGTGGGTGATTTAATCGTTCCGATGTTCAACCACGCAGGGTGGTGTTCACACATCCGTTCTAAAAACTGCATGACTGTGTGGCCCATGTTTTATTTAGCTTCATGTTTAAAATACATCATTGAGTGATGCTTTCTACACGAGAAACAGAGAAAAGGTATGTAGTAGTGCAAGCTTGCACAAGTTTATGAGGATTCCTCATTGCACCGGGTTGCAAAAATTTTTTATCTGCATGTATTTGTCAGCAACATCTGATATGATGTTGCAGTTTTCGCAACAGATAAAATATATGTCAATGAAAAAATTATTCAAGTTTGAATAGAGGGTACGGCTTTTGCGTAAGCTGCGTTCTCGAACACACTGTGATCGCAGATGTATTACGAGAATGTATAAACTTAAGAAATAGGCACTCAGAGTGCAAGGCATGTGAAAGTGTACCTATACGGGCTATAAGCCTAACACTACTCATGAGTAGTCTAATGCACATGGAAGAAAACATCAAATTAGGTATAATAAATAACGGTTATTTTTCTATCCTGTCGTACTCATCTCACATAATATATAGAAGACAAACAATGTGATAAAAGTTACGAGAAGTTGCCATCTTGAAATTCAGTTTGTTATAGATAACGAAATTGAAGATGCAGTTCAGTTTCATCCAGTGCACTTGACAAATGGGAGGCGGGATGAAACATTGGTACACTCCACGTTCGAGATTGATCTGGACAGGCCACTTTTTGAATTTTTAGAGTAAATTCCCCATGGAATATAATTACTATTGTTCTAAGCATAGCTACTCGAGCAATTCAACTGTGTATGCAAGGGATCAATCCGCAGTTTACTCGCACTGGCGTTTACCTATTTGAACGGAGTCTCGATAGCAGGGACGCGTAACGAGCGGGAAAAAAGTTATCCATGAAGATCTCCGAATAACCGAATGAGAATTTACCACAGTGTAAATATAATTGTTGTCACAGTCAGTCATGAGGCGCTCTATGTATTGCAATGCATGTTTGGAGTCATCACGGTGAACTGGTTATTTTCACTCTCTTCTGCCCTTTGACCTAACTGATGTGTATGATAATTCCTCAATCAATTGTTATTGTCGCTTCGACTTGAAGTTACATGAACATATAATTGAGCGGGCCTGAAAAAGCAGATATCATGTTGCCCTGTGTTAGAACTATTGGACCATCATCCGGTTGCAGTAACAAACAGTCATCAATGATAAATAGTTTCGGATGATTTTATTGGTTGTTGAAATATTTCTCATGAATTCACTGCCCACTAGCAGCAAATTTTTGTTGAAAGTATTCAAAAAGCAGTGTTTTTTCTTGCCCCACAGAACGACAAAACCCACTTAGTGGAGAAAACGTAAGCACCTACACGTATCGCGTTGGTGAAGGCAAACCGGCAGTTAAAAAACGAGGTTAGTGAGTTCATTTGTTCCTCAGTGTGGCTCGTGCGTAACGAATTTTTGGATGCTGNTGGCAAAACTACAGATATCAGTTCACCAATCACAGGAGAGGGTGCGCGAGGTAGAACCTACACGGTTTCCATCGAGGAGCGTCCCTTGTCCAATGGAACTGCGGATGGACAGGGCGCACGTATTCGTGCTCGGTCACACGGACCGGTCAGAAATGTCCTCACTGGTGAGAATTGTGATACCTTTTACGTGTGCAAGGAAATGCGAAGCGAACGTATATCCAATTCAGCCTCATCGAATGGACCGCTATCCAGTCGAGGTAAGGCAAATGCTGAACTTTCGAATAATAATGTTATTGGCATAAATTTCCTTTGATTATAAATTCGGGATACGCTACTCATGAGTAGGTAAATGTTTTGAGCTATAAATCACAATGAGCATTTCGCGAACCCTATCCTGTTGACAATGTGATGGTGGATGAGGATTCACGATGCCGCATTTCGATCATTAAAAGGAAGAGAAGTGGGATAAAAAGCATACGTCAAGGAAAGCTTCTTATTGTAGCCGGAAAAATGTCTATGTGATGTCAAAAAAGTAGTTAAGATACTTATTCATTAGACTAAACATTCTTGATTAGAGAATCGGAATGACCAAATGATGAAAACAAAATTATTTTGCTTTGCTATTCAGGAGCATACGAAACAATGCATAACACACGGAAGAATTAGGAAAGATAAAAAAGCTGATTTCTGATCTTATTCAAATCACTCTTGATTAAAGAAAAGCGAATGATGAAGGCGTACATCCGTGTATATTGGTTGTAATAAAAACATTTTGGTTCTTGATTTCTAAACCATACCAATAACAGATTTCCTTTTTCGTTTACAGCCAATTACAATATCATCACTGGAGTTTCGTGATTTCAAACTAATCTGAGGAGGCTGAGAGACTTGAAAACAGAAAACACCACTGAGCTGATGTTCCGCCTTTCTGACTCTATTGAGACATTCAGCCATTGGTTCATTGTTCAAAAACCGTCCGTACCCATGAAACGTAAAAATACCATTTACGCAATCCGTTCAGGATTATGTCATTTGATCATGAAAGCTTGCGCATTACGGACCATTTCTCGAATACACAAAGCTTTCTGATGTTGTTTTTCCTCACTTTCAAATCCTTCGATTTCTTGCGAGGCAAAACGTGTGTTCCTCATGTCAACCAATCACATCGCTCGCACCTGCGTGACGGTGTGCATGCACACCATAACAAACACACGTATGTACGCGCTAGCTCGCTTCTCTCTCCCTTGTTCCCATCTCCCAGGCACATGTGCATTAAAAAATTGCTCTATCTTTATTTCCGCCCTAAACCGAGGTGCATTTCACTCATTTTCTGTTTTTTTGTTTCTTCAGAAAGTGGAAAAAATGAGAATTGAAAAAATGAAATTAAAAAAATTCATATTTCGTAGAGTCGACAAATGCGTAGAGCTATGAACTGATGCACGAATTTTTCTGACGCTGCTTATTTGGAACTCGTTGCTTTCATCTTTGCAAAAATAAACCATTTATTTCTCAGATAACCTGGTGTGGATTCTTCTGTTGGCTATGGGATTGCGCTCACCAGAAGCGGGCGTTTCAAACGGATGCGAAGACCGGTTTGAGCTTCATTTTATCCAATATTTTTAATCATAGGCAGTTCAATTTTAATTGGGGCAACGAACCATGTAAATTCCTTGAAATCACGGGTTAGGCATATGTTTTGAAAACAGAGTTCCACTGTGCTCCGAGGTTTATTGCAGTGACACTTACTTAAACAGATAACTACTTTTCTCAAGGGTTAGTTTTGAAGACAGCCCGGAAATACACCACCAATTTACCGCATTTACCCCATGTAATGAAGATTTGACATGTTCATATGGCTATAATTGAACCAAAGGTCAGTCGGCGGTTGACGGAGAAGAAAATTCCTGTCAAAACGTTTTCAGTGCATTCAGTGGGATGATGGTGACAGCACGGGTAGATTACATGGTCGCAAGCTTCATGACTGTAAGTAAGAGGACTTTTTTCACAATTCCAGAACAGATACGTCAAAAAGCTTCCCAAACAGATCAAGCAACGTGTGCAGCACTCTCACTGAGACACTGTGGTCCAAAGAGGGACAAGCCCTAACATGTAGCTAAAAAGCTGGACTGGGATGAATCCAATGGGTTAACGTGGTTACAATGCGAGCGATTCCTAACCAGGCAAACGTGGAGTCAAGACATACCACCACCATCACCACCACCAGCGGTTTATACAAAGAGTGGAGTGTTATGCCTGATAGTGCAGTGCAGCTTGATCAATAGTTTTTCAGTAATCGAGTGCCCTAAAGACCGATCTATTTATTTTCGTTGTAGTAATACCAGAAAACTTTTAACTGGTATATTTGATTTCTTACACAAAGTTCAGATAACAGCAGAGCATGATTTTTGCAATATAGAACACCCAAACACCCAATACACTCTAAAATGAAAAAAGCAATCTGATCAACTGCCACGCGGTTGAGTGGGTAGCATGTTTGCTATCCACCTATGAGGTCCCGCATTCAATCCCCAGTTAATTTGATGGCTTCGCAATGCCGACGAGATTCGACCAGGTCTATAGAAATCTGTCCAGCTTTTCAGCTCAAGCTCCATTGACCGGGCGAGTTCACCGTGTAGTAATTGAAATTGTTTCCTAATTTTCATTTATTGCTAATTTCTGATATCGCTCACCTCCTATCGTTCCGTTGAGCTGTGGAGGATATCTGAAATAACTAGCTCTTTAATTCTCGTAAACCTCAGTTTTATCCGTTTGGCGCTGTAGTCGTATATACGCTTGCATTCAGAATCAGATCTCCCCGGGTTCACACACTGGATGAATGACCACCGGATATACTGCACTGACAACCGCCAATGACGGAGGAAGGCACCAGCATGTTGATACAAAAAATATATGATTAACTTGTACCCATAAAAATGAAGTGGAAAACAAATCAGTACTGACAACCAATCGTCTCGATCCGAATTGTTCATCCAATCCTTGACGGGATATCAAAATTTACTTCAAAACAGCCCAAATGAAGCACAGGTTATACGGATATCCCATTTGATGTTTGAATTCAATCAAACAGTTGTTCCACTCTTCATCAATAGCTAATTGATTGCGTTCGACTCGAAGGATATAATTTGTTAGTGAGCCAAAACGCCTTTGGGTATTGATGCTATAATCGATGTGCTGCAAAAATTGGGTTACGAAATAACTTTTGATGCGTATACAGATTTAGATGTTGAATGTTTGGATTAGCCCATTCGGTTTCTGTTGGGACGAAAATCAATGCAATTTGTCCCAAGCTAAACCCGGCTGCATGCTTACTAATTCTGTGAACAAAATCAAATAACTTTGCAACACATTCGACCCTAATTAGAGTCATCGCCGATCAACATTAATCTCGCGTAGTAAGGCAATATTCACTCTCTCCGTCCGTCTGTGACTCGTGAATTGTGATTTATGCTCAATACCAATAAAATCCCGTGCTACTGAAGCCACGTCGTCTCTCTCGTGATTTTGGGAGGCTTGAGAGATCGATAACCGACCATGCATCCTGTGTTTCACCTAGGTCGCGTCCGCTCCAAGAACTATCATCCGCTCACGGGCTTAGCGTTAGTTCACTGTTCTCGTTTCCCGTGTGCTACTATTGTTACTGTGCTATATTTTGTGTTCTTTGCACCTGTGGTGTTCTCCTGTGATAAAGTGCTGTGCGACCTAATGGTAGGCAACGGATATACGGGGCGCAAAGCATAACAGTTTTGTGGCATAACATTTTTCACAGGTAATGTTGATCATGTTGGTTTTGGGTTTTACTCCTTGGGAGACAGTTCATTCCCCACTGTTTTTATGCACTTAACTGCGTTGGAGATGTTTGTGATAACCAACATAGAGCACTGGACAGTTGTTTCATCCTGTTTGGGCTGGTGAATGTTTGGATTAGCCCATTTGGTTTCTCACAGGTACCAAGCACCAGCGTCAGGCACCAACAGCATCAACAGTACCTGGTTCTTGCGAAGATTTCTACCTAAATAGACCTCAACTTCCAGAACAACCCATTGTAACATTATAACACAAGGTGGAAGGCGAACAGCGGTTGTCAGAAGATTCATAATCGTGAGTGTGCGGATTTTTTGTCAGTGGGGGAACATTTTCAGGCTGGGTCGAAAGGTGATTCGGGATGGAGAGAGGAAACGGGTAGGATGGGGTCTGTTCTTGGGTGAGATCGATTGTGATTGGAGTTTTGGTGGTGGTGGTGGTGGTGATGATGATGTTGATGATGAACAATTTGGGGTCAGGGTACGTGATGACCATGAACCAGTTGTTTTTGTGCATTTTATTCTTCATTGAAAAGGCAAATGCCTATCGCCTCAGACACAGGGCTCACTCCAGCCCCCCTCCTCACCCCTCTCCCACAGTCCCCATCTCTGATGACCTTTCGACCCAGGGTGAAAATGTGTCCCCATTGAAAACAAACCTTATGTGATCTGTACTGGCATGAATCATTCAAAAATAATTATTCGCCTCCGAACTTGTGTTCTAAATTCCACAACTTGCTATGGTAATCGGTCAAAGCATATCTGCTGTCCAGTCTCCATCGAATGTGGAACTGTTAACAACTAGCCTAAACTGAGAAGATTTCAGCCCACTTCAAGGGTGTGAACTGTACCGCACCGTCTTTAAGTGTCGATCAGAGTTGTAGATACTAACTCAAAATGGCATTAAGGTGAAGAAAACTTCGGCAATCAACATGTCTTAAACAGGCAAATGATAATCCACAAACACCCTTCCTACAAACTGTCCGAAGTTTCCAATCTTGCAGTAGAAACGAAAATCACATCAAATAATTAGTCAATCTTGAAGTCAGCTTGCGTCTAACCGCGTGTCTGAAAGCAGCACCCCCCCCCCCCCACCG